GATGAAATATAAGGAAGTCAATTCTGATGAGAAAAGAATTACATAGAGACAGACCTCATTAAAGTAATGGTTGAGAAAGGAATGACTGTTCATCATACTCATCCGTCATGCCTGTCCCACATAGGGCTTGCAGGGCGAGTTTCCTTGGGTAGATGTCTGTCTTCTCTAAGCAAGTGCAGAGGTCAGAGACAGGCAGATAGTAACGACAGGGAGGACTTGCCAAAGGGGCAATGAGGTTATCCCTGAGAGGGGCTACGTGTTCAATAAACATTTCAGAAAGTAGGCTGGAGAGATGGGACGGCTAGAGAATCATACATTGAAGGACACACAGTAAGAGATGCAAGAAGCTTTTCTCTAGGTGGCAAGAGGTGGTGAGAACGTACTCAATGGCCGTATGCAGAGTTTTCAACAGAGCCAAGCACTCACTGTGGCTTGAAGCTTTTGGTTCTGCATTCTAGGAGAAGGCAGGTTCTTTGCAGTCAAAGGTACATCGCTGGGCAGAAGCTGGCCCTTGGGGTTAACTAGTGTGGTCACAGGCGTGTGTGTCAAATGTAAGTGTCAAGACTGCTCCCAGAATCTACTGAACAACAGGGAGCTCTGCCTGCAATTTCTTGGATAAGGCAGCAGAAATGAAGCAGAACAAGACAGGGGAAGAACCAGGGTTTTTTAAACACTCCCTGTATTCACTGGGATGCCTTCAGCCTCGAGTGAAAGAAAACTTACAGCTGAAGACTGTGCTTTAACCGTAAAGATATTGTTTCCTCAACAAAAAGTCTGCATGTAGACAGCATAGGCCTGGCTCAAGGGGTTTTGGTAGTGCAACAGTTCAGCACTGGGCTGCTAACCAAAACGTTGGGGATTCGAACCCACCAGCAGTTCTGCTCGAGAAAGACCTGCTGATCTGCCTCCATCAAGATTATAGCCAAGAAAACCCTATGGGACACTTCTACTCTGGCACATGGGGTTGCCATGAATCAGAACAGCCCAACAGCATTCAACAACAACAATAACAACAGGGCAGGTTCAGGAGCTTAATGATGTCATCATGGACTCAGGCTCTTACGTTCCCTCTTTCTCGCCTCTCTCAGTCTGTTTGGCCTTCTGCCCTTTGGCCTGTTGCCTCATGATCATAAAATGACTGTGGCAGTTCCAGGATTGTATCCACAGTCAAGCAGAAGCAGAAGGTAAAAAGGTTTTTTCTTTATGAGTTCCTTTTAATCTGAGTGCAAGCACTTTCTTACAAGCCTCCCAGGAAACATCGTTTTATATCTCATTGGCCAAAACGGGGCATAGGGTTGAGGATTGTTTCCAGGAAGTCTGGGAAAGCAAGTTTTTCAGCCTCTACGGAGGGAGCTAGACCAGGGAGAAGGGAGTTGGACTGGCTTTTGGGCAGCTAACTGGAGTGAATGCCCCAAGCCCCAAGATAAGGCATGAGGCTGTAGAAGAAAGAACACAAGATTATGAGCCAGGAGCCACCAGCTTGCTGTACGACCTTGTATCAGCCATCTAGACTCTCTGAAGCTGCGACCTGATCTCTAGAGTGAGATGATGGTAATAAAAACACTCCATGATTTTATTAACACTCCTTGAGGGCTTTGAGTGAACTGTCCAGTAGTGATGAAATTAATTTAATGAGATCCATTTGATACCAACAGCTGTGGCTCTTCTCCTTCCTATGGTCAGGGGACATTTGTTGGCTGGATACATGCTCACACATTTTGATGAAAGTTTAATTACACCAATGGCCTGTTGTCCTTGGTCTCTGGATGTTCCAGGCATTGAAAAGACCTTATGTATCTGCTAAGCCAAAGGGACTTCCTTTGTCCTTGGCTGATCTCTGCCATGCCCAAGTAGGGTCAGTCCTAGGTAGGAGTGTGGAGGAGATAATGCCGGCCTCCCAAGGTCCCCCTCACATCTCCCTTCTCACCTGGGCTTCAATACTCTTTCATTATCTGCCAGGTTGGAAGCACCCATAGTTGGGGTGACCCAGCTCTGGCCAAGACGTGGGCTTAGTAAGTATTTCCCAGAGTTCTTCTCCTTATAGAGCTACTGACCTCCTGCCTCTCCTCAAGGTATGGCTCTCAGAGAGCCACTGTGATGAGCTAACTCATGCTGAAGTTTCAGTGGTTGCTGAGGCTCCCCCACACCTAGGTCAGATATGGATGTTCAACAAGGGCTCCTGCAAACTAGGTAGGCCAACGAAGGCAGCTGAGAGCGCCAGCCTCTGCTCAGTTGCAGATAACAGAGTCCACTATTCTAAGGTCACAGGGTATCTGGGAAACCAGGACAGGAGGTGCAGTCAGTCCTACTTAGGATTGAACCCAGGGAGAAATCTGACCAACTCCAGGGCAGTTCCTTTCTTTCTCTCTGGCTCTATTTGTTAGCAGCTCTAGAAGACAGAGGATGAAATAATTGTTGAGGATGAGGTTGTGTTGTTATCTATAAACTTGTGCCATTCATATGGTCCTACTTTCCCACAGCTGAGCTGCAGGCTCCACGTTTGTCAACCAAGCCTGAGCCAGCAGGACTGGGTGGCATAGGTGAGCTGACGTGTCTAGTCTGGTCCCACTGTTGGGAACTTGAGCCTGGGATCAATGTAGAGATGGCATCTGCAAGGTGTGGGTCTGGCAGGTATTTGGGGTGGTTAGCTCCCCCCAGATCTCATAATGTTAGCACCTTTTGTGACTGAAGGGAAGGACCTGCTGTGATAGAAGGTTGGAGTTGCTCCCAGATATGGTTTGAAATCCACAATGTGGACACCAGGCTTGACCCAGATAATTTTGGAGTCACTTTGATTACTAATCTGTGTGGATTCCTCTTCTCCTCCAACCTCAAGCCTGCAAAACAACTGGCCTTCAGTGGTGCATGGAGAAGCCATTCAGGTTCTGATGAATTTAACTGCTGTCAAAGACTGAATCAGATAATACATAAATGAATGAGCATTGCTTTGTTCCAATAAAACTTTATTTGGCCTGTCCAGATCAAGTTTAATATCATTTAATAGATTTTTCTTTTCAAAACATGAGTAGTAATAACAATCCTCTGTAACAATAATTATATATGAACTCCTGGTCCAGGTCAGCAGCTTGATCCTTTACCAAAAAAGTAAAGCCGCCCTATGAGGATAAAATGGCACATGAAGAGCGGTGTACATTTCCTTTTCATTAAAAAAACTCAAACACTTCATATTTACATATTTCCCATTTAAAAATTGGTCATTGTGATTAATTCTGGTTTTTAAATATAAGTTTCTAACGTGTTACAGGTTTCAGTGTACAAATTGTAGTTAGCTGATTAGATTTAAGGTGCAATAAGGTGAGGGTGAACACAGCCCAAGACTAATACCTGGGAATCCTCTACTTATAGACTGGCTAGCCTCCCTGTGGGTATCTTTGGGGGCCCTAGGGCAGGGTGTGTGAGAAGAGCTGAACACCAGTAGTGGAAAAGGCAGAGTGCTCCAGGGAACTGGACTGGGGGGCTGTTGGTGGCCCCCTATGCTTCCATAGAGGGCCTACTGTGTCCACACACTGCCACCCTACGCTCTAGGTGTGATGGACCTCTGGGTCTGCATGCTGCAAACACATCCCGTCCTAAACTATGAGGGGCATGGCTGCATGGAGGCCCTACCTTTGTCCTGGGGTCCCCACGCTGGTGCCTGACCTTGAGGGCTCTCACTGTGGCACTCTGCCTTTCATCCCCTCCTACCTTTCTTGATTCCTTGCTCCCAAGGTCATTAGCTCTCCAGCACACTTCTTTGGGGCCTGCTGTTTGCCAGGCAGATGCTTAAATGGATGGGCTCAATGGATGCTCAAACCAAGGGACAATATTCACGAAGCATGGCAGGTTTTAGTGAACCCTTCTATGGTAACATGCTTCCTGTGCAGAGGGAACCTCATTGCTGTCATCCAAATGAGCAATTTGTGCTGAGAACAGTAGGTCCCGAGGTAGGCTTGGAGAGGAGCTGTGTGTATGTGGGTGGGTGGGTGGGAGACCTTCAGTGGTGGTGGTGGTGGTGGGAGGGCTGGGAGGATTCTTGGAATTACTGTCTTCAAACTCACCTGTGATGACAACCACTCAGGAACTAGGGCTGTCTCTTGGTGTCTGCATGCGTGTCAGGAAAGTGCATAGGGCGTGCTGGGGAGGTGTGTGCACAGGCTGGGGAGCTACTGGTATTTACCTGGAGACCCCAAACTGGTCTGGTCTGAAAGCAAGACTTCTGACCACATAGGGGTGGGGGGTGGGGCACACGGCAGATACAGGGGTGTGGCAGGCGAGAACATCTCAGTATTAGAAAAGCCAGAAAAAAATTTGCTTGGTGAAGGGAGTTATCAACTGGCTGAGCTTCCAGTTTCTGAATACAAGAAACATTACTGTGAATAAAAGGCTGTTGAATGGGTCGGATTGGCAATGGGCAGGGAAGAAACATCTTGGAGCAGGTTCTCTGACTGGAAAGCCAGGAGGATCTGGCAGAGGAAGGCATTTCCTAGGAGACAGACATCAGCCTGGGGGGCAGGTGACTGGGGTTCCAGGCTCCTCCTGACACTGACTAGGTCTATGACCTAAAAGCAACTCGTTTTGCTTCTTGGGGCCTAACTGTCCTGCCTACTCAGGCCAGGTGGATTTGAAGCTATGTCTGCAAGATTCCTCTGCTCCCAGCCACCCAGGTAGCCTGCAGACAGCTGAGACATGATTCTTCCCTGTACATGGCCACTTAAAAACTGTACAGCCCCCCCCTTGCGTTGGGAAGTCCCCAAGAAATGCTCCTGCTCCAACCTGCTCCCAAGAGGTTAAAGGCTAGTTATTAAGGCAGTTTAGGGAATGAACATTCCTCTCGCTCCTAGGATCCTTCACGTGTTCTGCTAACCCCAAGGCAGCAGAGAGGGGCAGGAAGAGTGGTGAAGGTGCCTGCTGCGGTCAGGCCCAGCGTCCTGAGGGGAGGGGGCCCCCCGCCCCTCATGGCTGCGAGGACTGTCCCGGGGCCTTGAGCGCCCCCTCGAGTCTCACCACCTTTCTTTGGAGAAGGCCTCAGTCTGCACAAGGTCGCCAGGGTGTTCAGAGATGCATGCGCCGTTGAGATCACCCAGCTTGTTGTCCGGCAAGTCCTCGGGTTTGGTGCAGAGCTTGAGCGCGCGGGAGATGAACACGTCCAGGTCGAATTGGGGGCTGGCACCGCCGTCGCCGGGGGCCGGGTGGCTGGGGGGTGAGGCGGCCAGGCTGCGCTGGGGGCCGTCGGGGGGCGGGCTGGCGCGCTCGAGGCCGCCCTGCGTGCTCTTGACCCACTGGGCGATCTCCAGGAAGAGGCTGGTCGGCTCCTCCTCGCGAGCGACCGCGTCTGCTGCCACTGCGGCGGTGGGGGGCGCGCCGGCCGCCTGCTTCCAGTGGGACAGGTCCAGGATGAGCTTGGGCTCCGAGTAGTGGTGCGGCTTGTTGTCGCGCCACAGCAGCTTGTCTAGGTAAGACGGCGAGCCCACCTTGTAGTCGCAGGAGCGCCCGTAGTCCATCTCGAAGGCGCGCTCCATGGACGAGTGCGACTGCTCTAGGAAGCGCTCGGAGCTGCTCTGCGAGTCCTTGCGCGGGTCCACCTGCACGTCCTCCGCCAGCGGCGCTGAGCCTGCGCGTGGGTCACGCTGAACCTCGCTCGCGTCCTGGCACCTGTCGGGGCGCCACTCCAGGTCGGATGACAGGCTCACAGGGTACCTGCCAGGGGACAAACGCGGTGATTGAATGCCCAGCACGGGGCACGGGGTGTCTTCGCAGAGGGAGCCAAACCCCCTAAACTCAGGTTTTACACCCACAGGGCCACTTTCCATTCCTTGTTGTCCCTCCCCTCAAAGTGGAGGGTGTTGGGATAAGGTAACTGTAGGCTTTGCAGGCTCAGGCAGGGGGCTCCTTGTTTGGCTTGGCCCTAAAAGATGGTTAGGTTTCTTTTGTATCATTCAGCCAGGAGCTTGGTAAGGGTAACAGCACCAGAGCAATCTCTGGATTGGGGAGGGGGGCGCTTCACGATGAATAGATGTGGAAGTAGCCCATCAGCAGAAATGCCTTCCTCCCTCTTGTATGGGTGCCTCAGTCAGGCACCTTTCAAATCTGTGGCGCCTGGAGTGTCACTCCACCTCAGAATGTCATCCTTGCCTCCTTTGGTGCAGCCAGGCCCAAGCGTCCCTTTCTGCCCACCCCCCTCCCCTTGCTAGGCCTCTAGATGTCTACAGCTTAAGTAAGGACGTCTGGCCTTACTGGGTTAGTAAAAACTGTTCAGTGGCGTCCCCCTTCACCGGGTGCTCAGGGCACATGCCATCCCTGCCATATCTTAGATATGCCTCTACTTCAGCACTCTACAAATGTTTATGGAGCACCTACTATGTGCCAGGCACTGCTGCAGGCATTGCCCACATAGGAGTTAACACGACAGGCACTTGTTCTAGTAGCTCCACTATGCAGTGCTCCTCCACCGCGGAGGTGCACAGAAATCACCTGGGAATCTTGTGAAAATGCAGATTCTGATCCAGTAGCTCCAAGGTGGGGCCTAGGAGTGTACGTTTAATCAACTCCCAGGTGATGCTCATGCTGCTGGTCCAGTTTGCTTCTCAGCCCTGGCCGCCAATTAGCAACACATGGGGAATAAAAGGTAAAATGCCATGCCTGCCCACACCCCCGATTTGGATTCTGTTGGTCTAGGGTGGGCCCTGCATCAGCCTGTTTTTAAACCTTCTAGATGATTCTAAGGAATAGCCCAGGCTGAGACCCCTTGCCCTAATGGATCTGGCTGGATGCCCCCCCCACAGCATCCTGCAGAGATGCAAAGCAGGTGGGTCCCATGGGTCCATTACAGACAGCCTCCAGAGAGGCCAAAGGTCCTTGGGATTTGGGGTCCCCTGTTGTCTGCTCTGTACCCATGGAGATTGGGGTCAGCTCTTGTGTGCCACTGAGTTGATTCCAACTCATAGTAACTCTATAGAATAGAGCAGAACTGCCCTATAGGGTTTCCAAGGCTGCAACCTTTATGGAAGCAGACTGCCACATCTTCCTCCCACAGAGCAGCTGGTGGCTTCAAACTGCCGACCTTAGGGTTAGCAACCCACTATGCCAACAGAGCTCCTCATACCAGGACTCCTAGCCAGAAGCAAATGAAGGGCAGATAGGCTGTCATCTGGGGCAGGTGCTCCATGCAGAGAGGCAGGGAGCCCAGGGGGGCAGCAGCCAGCAGCCAGCAGCCAGCAGCCAGCTGATCCCTGAAAAGGAGGCCTAGTGCTTATACAGGAAAAACCATCCAACCAAGGACAGGACAGCTTGAGTGTGAATTGGCAGACATGTCAGCAGCAGTCCCCTGGGTGTGGGCTGAGAGGCATGGAAGGCCCCATATACCGACTATTTCCAACTGAAGACTTTAGAGCAAGAATCACTACTGGAGGTGAACATGGCTCCTCCCTTGAGTGTCCTCAAAACTGCAGAGATTGCTAGGAGGAAGAACCCATGAAGACCCTAACCCTTGGCTGCTCCATGCCAATGCCATACATCAGTTATCTGAAGTCTTCATACCAACCCTGTGGAGTTCATGTTATTGCTCTTGCTTTATGGATGAGGAAACTGGGTTCCAACAGGTTAAGTTGTATGCCCAAAGCAGCAGGACCTGTAGGAAGGGGTTTGTCATCCCTGAAGCTCTTGTCTCCTCCCTCATACAGGTGTGACAGGAAAGGTCAGGAGCACAGGTAATCAGGTCAGAGTGGATGGGTGGTGGCCGAAGAAACTGCTGCAGATTTTCCTGGCACCAACCCTGTGCTATAGCCGTGATCCATAGGAGGGACCTCATGGAGCCCATGCTTTGTGCCCCCTGATACTGTGGAACGGAGTGGGGGCACCGTAGGGACCACAGTCAGGTAGGCCTCATATGGGGTGGCAGAAGGCAGAGTCTTCATGAATCTCTATTTACTGCCAGCTGGTGAGAACAATCATCAACAATGACAACAAACCAGCAGACCTGTCCCAAAATAGCAGTGCTTCCCTGGCCCTCCCCTCATGCCTCCTTAACTGAAAGTCATCATCTTCATGTGACTGAAAAGAAGAAACTGCTCATCTGTCACTTACGTAACGAGCTGTCACTTCCCACGGCAGTGGGACTCCCACTTGGGCCCCCTCAGCATCCTAGCTGCTGAGCCTCGGCTGCTATTTCTAAACTGGGCAGCTACCAGCACTGCCTCCCAGGGTAGCAGATGGGGTGCCCCAGAATTTAGCTGCCAGATCTAAGAACGTCAGAGCAGGAAGGAACTGAAGAGATCAGTATGTGCCTAGGCAGAGATCGTAAAAAATGTGTCTTCTCCCCAATTTGGATTCGTTGGCAATGGCTTCCGGAAACACTGAGTTGAGAAAGATTCTAAGGCTGAGCCCAGTTTGAGAGGAAAGAGTCCTGTAATTGATTAGCAGAGTCTGGGTGCAGATGGAGGAGGGCCAGAATGACCTGTGTTACACAGTGCAATCTCTCAACCTCTCTGAGCTTTAGCTTCTTCATCTATAAACTGGCAATCACAATAACAGAACCTGTCTTACTAAGGAGCTCTGGTAGCACGGTGCCTAAGGCTTTGACTGCTAACCAGAAGGCTGGTGCTTCAAATCCAACAGCCACTCCATGGAAGGAAGATGGGACACTCTACTTCCGTAAAGATTTACCACCTCAGAAACCCAGTGGAGGTTTTTATGAGTTGGAATCGACTCCAGGACAGTGAAGTTTTGTTTTGGTTTGGTTTTTGTCTTAATAGCACTGTCTACCCATGCCATCAAGTCCCACTCCACCATTGGGTTTCCAAGGCTGTAAATCTTTATGGAAGTAGATTGCCTCATCTTCCTCTTGCAGAGCAGCTGGTGGGTTTGAACCACTGACCTTCTGGTTAGCAGCCCAATGCCTTACCCACTGTGCCACCAGAGCTCCTTGCAGCCCTGTCAGGAGGTACAAATGATGTGCTCCTGTAAAGTGTAATGGTAAGTTTCGTGTTTTTCTCTTGCCTTGCATTGGTGCCATTTACTTTTCAAGGGCAAATTACCCAGCCTGGTAGAAGTGAACTTCTTCAGCGGGGATCTTTACATCTCTATACAGTTGTTGTTAGTTGCTGTGGGGTCCATTCCAGCTCACGGTGACCCTCATGTGTTAACAGAGCAGAACTGCTCCATAGGGTTTTCCTGGCTGTCATCTTAATGGAAGGCGGCCTGGTGGAGCAATGGTTAAGTGGTTGGCTGTTAACTCAAAAGTTGGTGGTTTGAACCCACCAGCAGCAGCTCCATGGGAGAAAAAACCAATGAATTTCTCTTCCTGTAAAGATTATAGCCAGGAAACCCGATGGCGCAGTTCTGCTCTGTCCTATAGGGTCGTTAGGAACCAGAATTGACTTGATGGCACAGAACAACGACAATAATCTTAATGGGCAGATAACCAGGCCCTGTGCGGTACTGTGGGGGGCAGGGCAGCTCAAACTGACAATCTGGACCATCATCTAGGGACTTTTATGGGAGCTCTGGTGGCGTAGGGCCTAAGGCACTTGACTGCTAACCAGGAGGTTGGCGGTTCAAACCCACTAGCCACTCCTCGGAAGGAAGGTTGGGCAATCTACTTCCATAGAGATACCTCCTCAGAAACCCAAGGAAGGGTCGCTATGAGTCGGATCTGACTCCATGGCACATAACAACACAACACAACAGGGACTTTTATAAGGAGCCCTAGTGTCACAGTGGTTAAGAACTTAGCTCCTAAGCAAAAGGTCAGTGATTTGAACCCACCAGCTGCTCCATGGGAGAAAGGTGAGGCAGTCTGCTTCTGTAAATGTTTACATCCTTGAAAATCCTATGGGGCAGTTCCCTGTCCTATAGGGTTGTTATGAATTGGAATTGACTTGACAGCAATGGGTTTTTGAAAATTTTATTTCTTAGGGACCTCTGTACATGGCAGTGAGTTTAGTTTCTTTGTATACACAGTAGAAGAGCCCTGGTGGTACAGTGGTTAAAGCCTCGGCTGCTAACTGAGAGGTTGGTTGTTCAAACTCACAGGAGAAATATGTCAGTCTGCTTTTCTTGGAAACTCTATGGGGCAGTTTTACTCTGTCCTATAGGGTCGCTATGAGTCAGAATCAACTTGATGGCAGAGAGTTTAGTTTTAGGTTACACATAGTAGGTGCTCATTAACTGTTTGCCAAATGTTGTATTTAGCCTTGTGTTCAGTATACTCAGGAGGGGAGGGAAGCTGGTGGTGGCTGTGTTGCACAGAAGAAGGCCTCCAGCCCACATGTGTGAGACACAGCTGGGGACTCTTGGGGTTTGGCCATTTAGTCTGGGGACTAGAGAGAAAAAGGCAAGAAGCTAAGTGGAGAAAGTGCCCAATGGGCTATACAACTTGGGAGGCAGAAGGAAAGGTCACGGAGAACCAGAGGCAAAACAGGCCGTGGGCTGTAGACACCAGGGCTGGGACCCCACAACCTCACCTGTCCCAGGTGGAGAGTTGGCTCTGGTTGGCAGCCACCAGGAGGATGTCGTCGATCTCATCCTCGATGCGGAAGGGGTGTTGTGAGGTGGGCTCATCCTCGGGGCAGGAATAGGGGCTCATATAGGGGTGCTGCAGCCCCATCTCAGCTGTTAAGCGGTCCATAGGGTTAAAGGTCAGAATCTTCTCCAGAAAGTCAATGGCTGCGGGAAGCAGAGTAGGACACACAGGTCATTCGTGTTGCCCCTGCCAAGCTGAGAATGAGACTCCTCAGCATGGTGACACTCCTGGTGTCTGTAGTTTTCTGTTTGCAAAACAGTTTTTTACCGAAGACACGTGGAAATGATTAGTCCAAGGGACTGGTACACCATACAATCCTCAGTCTATATGACCATGAGACCAGAAAAACTAGATAGTACCCAACTAACACTGTCATCCACTTGGAGAGGAATCGGTGCACAATGTTCTCCCACTCTATCCTGGATAGAGTGGGAGAACATTGTGGAACTAAACTCAAAATCATAAAAAAAGACCAGGTTTGCTGGTCTGATAGAGCCTGGTGAGACCCTTAACACTATGGCCCCTAGTTACCCTTCAGGTCTGGAACTGAACTCATTCCTGTGGCTTCCAGCCAAACAGCAGACAGGCATATGGGGTGAACATTTACATCAGGTAGATACAATCCATGGAGCGATCAATGGTGAGACAACAGAAGGGCAGTGTTTGCAAAGGGAGACAGCTGGAGGGTGGGGCGGTGGGAGTGATTGGGAGGGAAGGACACAGGGAAGAGGTAACTACAGGGATAAAGTGGGGAGAGAGCTGTTATACTGTGGGAAACTACTGTCAGTGTCATGAAACAAAATGTGTACGAACTGCTGTATGGAAAATGAATTTGTTCTGTAAGGTTTCACCCAAATCACAATACAAATTAAAAAACAAACAAACAAACAGGTTTTTAGCCATTTTCTTTCTGATGATTCTCACCAGAAGCCCGTGATAAAGACAGAGTGGATAATGCTTTTTCCACTTCATAGGTCGATAAACAGAAGCCTACAGGGGTAAAGTGACTTGCTCAGAGTCCCACCATGGGTGAGAGGAGGTCTAAGGCTACAACTGTGACTTAGGTTGGGTTTGCTAGAGACAGAACCAGAACAGGGATTTGGTGATAGGTAATTTATAGGCAGGTGATGCCAGGAAGCATGGCTGGGAGTGGGGAAGAACCTAATACTGGTGACCAAAGAGCAGATGGGCAACTGGTGCTCTGTCCCACCAGGGCCCTCCAGGAGGCAGTGTAGGGCACACCTTGGGGGTGCCACTTGAAGGGTGAGGAAGCTAGGGTACTCACTCCCATTTGTCAAGGGTTGACAGCTGCCAGGGTTGAGCACACTCCTGAGGAAGTCCTCAGGGTCTAAGAGTCACAGATGCCCGCCCTGAAAAGCCTTAGGGATGGGGTCTTGCTGCCTAGACTCCTGGGGCAAATCCAGTGCTCTTTGTGCTATGGATCACTCATGGAGGCCTGAAAGCACAGTGTTGATGTTCAAAGTGCTTTATAATCAGGCAGAACCTAGTCTTGAAGCTCCCCTGCTGTGTAACCCTTCAGTGGCTAGATCAATGGGTGTCTGGCCAGCTAGGATCTGGGGAAGGGAAGGAGCACTGGGGAGCCTTGTGCTGGGGCTACGGGCCAACCAGCATGAAAGTATTTCAAGATTTCATCAGCCAATAGGTTGTTATGGGTGTGTGCTGGCTGAACAGCAGCTTGGCACACAGGTGTCTGTGCCCATTTCCTCTGAGCAGGGGTAGGGGTGCCCACCTGCCCTGTGAGCTCTGCCCTGGGTTATCTCATGGCAAGGTCTAGCCTGGAGGCTTGTATTACTTCTCAGCACGGGAGTCTCTGGAGGCCCCTCTGAAATCAGGACTTGGCTAATCATGTTACAGCCCACATGGAAAGGGAGAAATTGAGCTGGGCTCAGGCCCAGGCTGCTCTTCCCACCCCCTCCTCAGGCTCCTGGTGGGCCTCAGCTGGCACCACTAATCTTCCCCTCCCACCAGCCCTGGGTATCTTTGCAGAAGAATTCATCAATGATTTAAGAAATCGATGGACTCAGAAGGTCACTGGCCTCCCAGGAGAACACAGTGCTGCTCGTAACCCTAGACCAAAAGATTAGTTACACAGCAGTAAACTCTGGCATTGCTAGGGTGTTTCAGGATCCTGGGTTAAGGATGAAAGGAGATCAGTTTCACAGTTCCTGAGATTTGGAAGAACTGGCTACTCCAGTGCAGGGCTCCACACCTGGGCACCTTTTCCCTCGGTGGGCTCAGGCCCCTCGCCTGACGCCTTTATTACACTCTCTTGGCCTGACGCCTTTATTACACTCTCTTGGCCTCACCCATTGCTAATGAATGAGGGAGTTAATGCTCCACACACTGGCAGCATAATTAACCTACTGGCTGCTGAAATCTTGCAATGTTTTCATGCTGGCTGGCCACTGGCCACTGCACAAGGCTCCCAAGTATTCCTTATCCCACTGATATTTCATCAATGCCTCATTATCCTAAGGCCAGAGGCCAGTTGGAGTCACTGTTCAAGGACAGATAATTGTGATTGAAGTTAGTGCATTGAGAGGGAAAAGCCAGCCTGGCTTCAGGGGACATCTGTCCAGTGACAGGATTGAGTCCAAATTCATTATCTGAGTAGCCAAAGCCCTGCAGCCCCTCGACTCTCCTCACCTCTCCAGCTTCACTTCCTATAATCCGGCTGTGATTTGGCCTGCTGATGGGAGCCCTCACCAGCTGTCACAGCTTACCTGAGCCCCACCTGTGCCAGGCCAGGTTCTCTTCCCCTCCCTGAATACCAGGAGCTCCCTCTCACCCCTTAGGCCATGTCCCTTACTATCCCTATTCGTCTTTGATGATAGTCCCTTTCTTCCCAGCTAGACCACACTGTCTCTTGCAACGAACGAACACAACTGCTGTTGAGTCAGATCTGACTTCTAACGACCCCTCCTTATGTTTCTGAGGCAGTATCACTATGGAAGTAGATTGCCCAACTGTCCTTCTGAGGAGTGGCTGGTGGGTTTGAACCACCAGCCTTCTGGTTAGCAGTCAAATGCTTTAGGCACTATGCCATCAGAGCTCCTGACTATCTCTTAGGTCTCTGAATTTCCAGCCCTAGAGCTGTATAGTTCTTTGCTCCCAGGGAGTTCATAGATGGGGCTGGTGTTGGGGATGACAGTGAGGTTTATGGGGCAACTCAACTGTGCCAGGGACTTTCACAACTTCTACTTTACTTAATCCTCACAACCACCCTATGTGATGTTTGTTATTAAACTCATTTTAAAGTTAAGAAAACTGAGATTCAGAGTTTAGTAACTTGCTCAAGGCAACACAGCTAGCCACTCATAGAACCAAGACTTGAACTTGGGTGTGTGCCTCTCCCACTGGTAAAGCTCTTGTTCTTTGTACCATACCATGTCCTCTAAGGGAAAAAAAAAAGTAAGGGAAGATGGAAGAAGAGAGAAAGAGGAGAAGGAAAGGAAAGCAAAGAGAGGCAGTAGGACAGGGAGGACCACAAATGATGGCCTCGAGGGTTGTCTAGTGATCAAACTCCAGAGCGGACGTACCTATAGCAAAGGCCCCATGCCAGGGAACCATGCTTTTCTTTCTGGAAGGAGACTGCCTGCCCCCAGCCCCCAAAGTGATGGACCTCCCAGCCTCAGGTACCTTCGCTGTTCACTTCGGGCAGCAGCTTGCGCAGTGGCCTCTTCACCTCCCAGGTGCTGCTGACGAAGGAAGGCATCACCCTGAGCAGCTCGTCCTTGTCCTCCTCCCGGATCACAGGGATGGTCTCCAGGATGAGCTGCATCTGCTCTAGCTCGTGAGCCCCTGGGGAGGCAAGCACAGATGGTCACAGGTGCTGTCCACTGGCTGGGTGGGCAGGTATTAGGGCACAGTGGCCTGGGTGCCAGGGGCCCAGGGTTAGGGTCTTCACTCTGCCACTACCTTGCTGTGTGACTGTGGGCAAGTGGCTTGCTGTCTGTAGGGCCTGACTTCATCAAATGTAGAAAGAAGGAGTGGAGTTGAATCTGGTAGTCTCTGAGCCCTGTCCACTGCCCTAACATTTGTGACTCTGATATAAATGGAGTCAACCAGAGTTAAAGCCCAAGGCTTTCCCAGGGTGTGTTTCCATACGTCTCTATGCATATCCTTTACCAGGCCAGGGCAGGAAATAATTTTAAGGCTAGAAATAAGCCTTATCCTTTAGTTTCCAATAAAGAGACTTCCATCCAGAAAACTCTGTAGAGAAAAACCATCAGGAGGAACAAGTTTGGTTGAGATGCGTCTTGGTCAGCTGAGCTGACAATATAGCAAAGACAGTGTCACTGTGCTTCTTGGGATGGAGGTAGGAGGACACTCTATGTCAGGCCTAGGGGAGAAGGGTGGCGGAACAGGATGAGTCAAGCATGCACACATGCATTCCCTCACTCATTTATTCATTCAACAAATATCTATTTACTGGGCACCTTCTCTACGCTGGACATCGTGCTAGATGTTAGGAAGGAATAAGACAGAGTTCTTATCTTTGAGAAGCTCAAGTCTTTATGTGTCTTAGGAACTCGTCTCATTCTATCTTTCACCCCCAGGCAACCGTGGACCACTGTCTCAAAGCTTTAGCAATGCTGCTGGTGGTCAGGTCCACCTCCTTGCTGTCTGACCTCTGACCTCTAAGCCATTCTGACTTCCATTTTCTCTTCTTGCTTGAGTAGCTTTTCTACTTCCTCAACCAATCCTCTCCTTTCTCATGCAACCTCCCAGCCCCCCCCCCAAGTGCCCACGACCCTCCCCTTACCACAGACTTGCATGGCATTCTAGTCTTCCTAAAGTTAGTGGCCTAGGGAGAGGGCCCCATTCACTGCATCTTCCATGTCCCTCCCACCCCCACAATGCCATATGTGGCACCAAACATATGTGGGTGCCATGAACACTGACTGAACTGCTACCTGTAGAATCAGGCTCTACTTTGAAGATGTCACCTTTGCCTTTCTGTACAGTGGGCTCAGAGAGGATCAGTTCAGGGACTCTGGGAGCCCTCTGCGGGGTACCCTCTACAAAGGAACACTTCAGATCCCTCACCAAGAAGCAGTGGGATCAGTGGGCAGTCCTGCTGCAGACAGATGCACTCCTCTATGACACACAGACCCATGACCATGGCCTTGTGCTCTGCATGGCTTCTTCAGTCACCAGGGAGAGTCTGCACAGAAAGAGCCTCCCTCACTTGTCTGCTTTTGCCAGGGTGATGGAGGTGAGGAAACCCTCAGGCCAGGATATTAGGCAAGTTAGCCAGGGCAGCCACAAAGCCCAGAGTGACAGTGGGACAACATGTGTGTGTGTGGGGAGGCCATGATGTTGGCACCAGAGCCCTCAGTGTGGGGAGTAATGAGGACATTGGTGGGTGTTGGCACAAGGAAGATGAGGTGGGGACAAGGAGAGGCCATCTGGCTGGCATGTGTCACAGAGAAGGGCTGGTTTGTAAAAATAGCAAAGTAGCAATGGTGGGTGAGGAGGATGTGGGCTTGCAGCAAAGTCAGCCTGAGGTGGAGGGGGCTGAGGTAGAGAGTGCCTAAGAACAGCATGGAGGGTGTGGCAGTTAAGGTTGTTGTCAACTTGGCTGGGCCTGGTTGAGTGGCTGGGCAGCTGGATGTAGTTATTCCCCATGGTGAGACTGGCAATCAGTTCCACAGTGGGATCTACTGGAGCGGCTGAGTAGCTGATTTAGGGATGTGGTCTGCTTCCAGTATATAAGAAGCAGCTTTAAGGAAGGTCTCTAGCTTTTTGGCATGCTTGAACTCTGCATGTACCCAAGTCATTGTTCAGCAGCCTACCATGTCCTGCTGTTCTTGGGACTTTCAATGGACTTGAATTAGTGGCCTGCCATATTGTTTGGTAACAGTGGGACTGTGCCTTTTTACTTGTCAACCTTGGGTTTGTCAGCCCCTACAGCCACCAGCTGCCTGAGTGAGGGAAAGCCTTTAGCTGGGCTGGGAGCAGGAGGCAGAGCTGAAGCCCAAAGTTGAGGGGCTTTCACCCAGCCCCTAGAGCCTGGCACTTTGAACTCAGACTTAAAGTTTCCAAACTGTAAGAGAATAAACTCCTGTTTGTTCAAGCCATCCCATTTGTGGTATATTACTGTCAGAGTGACACTAACTCACTGCTGTTGTGTTGGTCCCGACTCAGATCAACCCCTCCTTGGGTAGCTTGCCCAATCTTCCTTTTGAGGAGTGGCTGGTGGGTTTGAACTGCTAGCCTTCTGGTTAGCAGTCAGATGCCTTAGGCACTATGCCACCACAGCTCCTAACTAGGTAACCAAAACAGAGGGTGAGGATGGGACTGAGGGAGGACTGAGAGGCATGGGTGCAGAAGAAGTAGAACCACTAGGGGTGAGAAGCCACTGAGAATGACTGGCCAGAGGACTAGGAGGAGTGTACAAGCCCAAGGAGGAGGGACTGTTGAGAAGGAGGGGCCAATCATCACTGACCAGTGCTACAGAATGAGGGCCAGAAAGAGCCTTTCGTACTCGAGTGGACTAAGAACACGGGGTTTGGGTGGGTAGCTTCAATGGGATGGAAGTGAACTGCAGAGGAATAAGAATAGAATGAGAGGAGCAGAGAGAGTAGGTACAGCTTTCTCATTCCAACAAGCACACACACACACACACACACACACAGAGAGAATGAGTAGAGAAGATGAGTATGAAGTACAGTGGGGGCACAAATGAGGTGATCTGTACCCTGGGGAATTGTGGAAGGCATCACCAAGGACAGGACACAAGATGGGTTTTGAAGGATCAGCAGGCGTTTTCTAAGCAGAGAAGGGACCTTTTGCCAAGGTGAAGAAAAACTGATGATTTATTAGGAGAGCAGTGAGTGACAGTGTGGTGACAGGGAACACAGCAGGTGGAAGAGAGAGGATTGTGCCCCCTGGCCCCCCCCAAAAAATATGTGTCAACCTAGCTAGGCCATGGTTCTCACTTTTATGCAGTTATCCTCCATTTTGTGATCTGATGTGTTGTAAATTCTCACCTCTATGATGTCAGTGAGGCAGGATGTAATCTACAGGATTAGGTTGTATCTTGAGTCAGTCTCTTGAGATATAAAAGGAATTGAACAACCGAACAGAGAGTGGAGGGACCTATTACCATGAAGAAAGAAAAGCTGAGACTATAGTGTGTGTTTTGGATCTGGGGTCCCTGAGCTGGAACCTCCTTAGAACCAGGAGACAAAGAGAGATAAAGCCTTCCTCGAGAGTCGGCACTGTGAATTCGGACTTCTAGCCTCCTGAACTGTGAGAGAATAAATTTCCATTTGTCAAAGCCATCCACTAGTGGTATTTCTGTTACAGCAGCATGAAAAAACCAAGACAGGGCTGAAAATGTAGGGTGAGTGTCTTTGGTGTTCAATCGCAAGGTGTTTTGATACAAGTAGCTATTTGATTTAAAAAGTTCTGTGATGCTCAAAAGGCAATTTTTATCCTCTCCAGTATTTTGCCTGAAATTATAAGAAGGTGTAGCAAAGTGGTGCCATAAAAGCCACATAGGTCATTTCAAAGAGTCAAAGAGCAAGGTTAGCATGTTTTGTGATTAGCATGGCTTTTGCACTCAGTTCTCCCTTTTCATAAACTGACACCAGAAGAGAAGGAAGGAACTCACCAGCAAAGAGCATTCTCCCTGTGAGCATCTCAGCCAGGATACAGCCGGCGGCCCACATGTCAATGGCTTTGGTGTAGTTGTTAGGGGAGAGGAGCAGGCGGGGCGAGCGATACCACTTGGTCACCAACCCTTCTGACAGATAACCCTGAAAGACAAAATACCCCATTTCTAATGATCCATCATTTGCAGATACCGTCTTCTATGGATGGACCATGTGAGGAAATGTCTACAAGTCTACAAGGTAAGGAACACCAAGGAACGCCTAGGGCCACTGATGAGGAGGGACCTTCCCTAGAGCTGATGTCCTGATTTGGACTCACAGCTTCCAAAACTGTGAGACAGTATATTTCTCTTCTTTAAAGTCATGCACTTTGTGGCATTTTGTTGTGGAAGTCCTAAAGGACTAAGAATTCTTTCTCTCTCTCCCTCCCACACTTCTTCTAGCTTCCCTTCACATGGAAACAGGGCCCTTTTCACCCTCTTTCCTTTCCTGCTGATTTTTTTTTTTTTAATTTAATTTTATTGTGTTTTGGGTGAAAGTTTACAGAGCAAATTCATCTTTCATACAGTGGTTCACATATACTTTGTCTCATGACACTGACTGCAATCTCCCACAATGTAACAGCTCTCCTCCCACTTCCTCCCCATAGCCACCTCCTCCCTGTGTCCTTCCCTCCCATGCACTCCTGCTCCCCACCCCCGCTGTCTCCCTGTGCATACACAGCCCTTCTATTCTCCCATGATTGATCTTTCCAAGGAGTGCATCTACCTAATGTAAATGTTCAGCTCATATGCCTGTCTTTTGTTCAGCTGGAAGCCATACCTTTCCTGTTGATCTTGAAGGAGGCTTAGTGAACAGAGGTTTGGTTATAGGAACTGGGCCTAGATGGTGGGGCACAGGTTTTGGTAGGGGAATCTTATTAGTCCTGGGGTTCTCCTCTATAGAATGAGATCCAGGATACAGATATAACTTGATATAACTATGTATATAATATAAATCTGCACTCATCTAGTAAGAAGATGGAGACATAGAAGACATGTTCAAGTTCTTTACCGCCAACAAGGGTAATGACGAAAAGTTTCATCTACTCGTGGCCAAATCTCAGAAATAGCTGTAAATTTGAAACCAAGAATTCTGTATTTCCAGTTGCTTTGGTGATGCTCATTAGAGTTAATGCCACTATGAAGCCAGACATGAAGCCCCTGCTGAGAATGGATAAGGCAATCTTCACCACAGATGTAAGTAAACAGCATGCAGAGGCAGCCCTGAATGGCAGAGCCCAATCAGCCCTTTTTGATCCAGAAAATTATGGGAGTTTGACATCAGATCTTTCGGGAGAATGGATGTTTCAGCTGATTTCAGCCACCACTCAATGATTTATGGTCTGAGATGGAATCCCTCATTCCAACACATAGTGATGACATAGGTGTTAAAAAAATGTATCCAAGAAATCAAGACACTGTTTTCTACATAGTTCTGAAAGCTGGCCCAACAGTGAAACCTGAGACACACCTACTTGGAATACCTGGAATGGACTCTCTGAACTGAGAAAATAGATCCATGTGGGGTCAAGGTGAGACAATTAAGTAGTAGACCGAGTGTAAGATTTGGGGATGATCGGGTCATTCCTGCTGTGTAGTTCCCGGTTGAGCATCCAAATTTTCCTTCTTCTTGATGTAAAAAATATCACCAAACTAATGACAACAAAAACAAAACCAACAAACACTTTAGGAAGCCTAAGTACCAAGGAATTTTTTGATAATTAATCTGAAATCTCTTCATTTGTTGAGCAAAGATTTATTAAGTGTCTAAAACCTTCTGAGAGCCTTGAATTCTGACAGTATTTTTCTCCCCTCCATGGTATATAGTCTTCAGAGTGGGGCCTCAAACTGGCACCAAGGTGGAAGGATGAAGAAGAGGAAAACACTCCTGAGCTGAAAATGACTACAGCACACCCAGTTCCCCAGCTGGGACCTCAAAGCTCCAACCCAAATAAACACCTATAATGTTTTAAGTAGGTCCTTTTTTCTCTCACCTCAGGCTGTTGCATGTGCACACTCCAGAGATAGAGCTCCTCATCCACTGCCATACCTGGCGACCTCACCCCCAAGCTTCCTCTGGGATGCTTCGAACTTCTGGGATGGGGTTAGACGCCTTCTTAGAGCTCCATGGCCCCTGTTGCTTTACTTCTCTATGTTGTTGTTGTTGTTATGTGCCATCGAGTCAGCCCCGACTCATAGTGACCCCTCCTTGGGTTTCTGAGGCAGTATCACTACGAAAGTAGGATTGCCCAACCTTCCTTCCAAGGAGCGGCTCATGGGTTTGAACCGCCAGCCGTCTGGTTAGCAGGCAAGTGTCTTAGCCACTAAGCTGCCAGAGCTCCCTTACTTCTCTATAGCAGCCCACAACTGTCTCCATCCTTTCGATAAACTTAGCCCCTCATTAGCAGCTGAATCTTGTTCCACAACTATTTCCTCCTTTGTCCTGTAAGAAGTGCAGCCAGAATACTCCTTGGAAGCAAGAATGACCAGACTTTGTCTCACCTACTTTGGTCATATTGTCAGAAGGGACCATTTGCTAGAGAAGGATGTCATGCTTGGTAAAGTGGAGGGTCAGTGAAAAAGGGGAAGGCCCTCAATGAGATGGATTGGCACAGTGGCTGCAACAGTGGGCTCAGGTGTAACAAGGATCGTGAGGCTGGTGCAGGACTGGGCACTGTTCTGTTCTGTTGTGCATAGGGTCGTTATGAGTTGGAGCCGACTTGACCGCATCTAACAACAATAACATCAAGGCTGACTGCTAGGAAGAGTTCAGTAAACACTGGTGAATACATAAATAAAAGGATGAATTAATAAGATACATCTCAAATAGTCTGAACCCCTTCAAAATCAGGCATCTTCTGCAGGGACCAGTGACACTCTTCTTTGACATCCTTGACTTGATGGCAATTCCAATTCCCACTTTCAGAAGTGGGAGAGCAATTTATGTACCAAGAGGTATTGGCCAATATAATTTTTATAGTTTACTTTTTATAAAGTCAGGTTTATCATAGTATAACTGACATGCAGGAAAATTCACCCTTTTAAATGTACAGTTCTAAGAGCTTTGATGAATCTACAGAATTGTGTTAACACCATCATAGTCAAGATATATAACAGTTCCATTACCTCAAAACAACTCCCTCATGCCCCTTTGAATCCAAGCCCACTCTGGCCCCCTAGCAACTTCCGATCTGTTTCTGCCTCTCTAGTTTTGCCTTTTTTAGGATGTCATATAAATGGAATCACTGTATGCAGCCTTCCCTCACTTAGCAAAACACATCTGAGACTCATCCAGCGTGTAGTTGGTTAAGAGTTTCATACAGAGACAAGCCAAACTGGCTGCAGAAGTTCACTGCCAGGTGGGTTGGGCAGAAATAAAGACTGGTCTGAATTTCTTTTCCAGGCAGAGGGTGAGACTGTCAGGAAAAGCCTGAAGTAGAGAGAACCCAAAAGAAAGGTGATGTAGGGGGAGCTTTATTTGATATGTACATGGACAGTCTATTATGAAATGCAATCTCCTGTAATTAATGCCTATTTATCTGCAGAGTCTAGGGCTGGAGAGGGGCTCAGGGGGACTTTCTTCTGAAATAACTACCCAAAAATAACAAAAAGATGTCCTGCCCCAGGCCAGAATTATTATGGTCACAATAAGATAGCAGTTAAGAAGGTTGTCCTGGTTCTTCATTACATTTAAACAATAACCAAGGACCTGCTACATTTCTGTTAACCACTAGCTGCTTCCCTATGGAGTGCAGTTCTATTCTGCATGTATGGGGCTGCTGTGAGTCTGAACTGACTCAAAGACAGCCAACAACAATAAGCTGCTTTCCTATGGTTACCTGTCCCTCAAGCTGTTTTGGAAACTTAAAGGCGATTTAGTGAGCCCTGGTTAAGTGCTCAACTGCTAACTGAAAGGTCAGCAATTCTCATGGACTAAATTTGACCCCCCCCCCCAATATGTGTTAACTTGGCTGGGTCATGATTCTCAGTGGTTTGGCAGTTATGTAAGGATGTAATCATCCCCCATGATGTGATCTGATCTGATCAGATCACAGCCCTGACCCAATGTAAGGGGAGTTTCCCTGGGGTGTGGCCTGCATCACCTTTTATCTTACAAGAGATAAAAGGAGAGAGAAGTGACTTGACTTGACTACCACCAAGAAAGAAGAGCCAGGAGTGGAGTGCATCTTTTGAACCTAGGGTCCCCATGCTGAGAACCTCCTAGACCCAGGGAAAGACTGATGCCAAGACACATGGCGATCTCCAAGGGATGCTGGGCCCACAGATGTTGAAAGGAGAAAAGGATTTCCCCTCAGATCCGACAGAGAGAGAAAGCCTTCCCCTAGACCTGGTGCCCTGAATTTGAACTTCTAACCTCTTACACTGTTCATTAAAGTCTTCCACTTGTGGTATTGCTAGACCCATCCGTGCCACTATGGGAGAGAAGACCTGGCAGTCTGCTCCCATAAAGATCCCAAAAACCAAACTCACTGCCATCGAGTCGGTTCCGACTCACAGCAACCCCCTTTGGGTTTCTGAGGTGGTAAATCTTTACAGAAGTAGGTTGCCCAGTCTTCCTCCCATGGAGTGGCTGGTGGGTTTAAACCATCTGCCTTGGAAACCCAAGGAGGGGTCACTATGATTCGAGTCCGAGTAGATGGCACATAACCACCACCACCACCACCACCACCACCACCACCACCTTCTGGTTAGCAGTCAAATGCCTTACGCACTATGCCACCAAGCTCCTTCCTGTAAAGATTACAACCTAAGAAACTCTACAGGGGTAGTTCTACTCTGTCCTGCAGGATTGCGATGAGTCAGAATAGAGTTCGACAGCATACAACGACAACCATAATAACAAAGGGGATTTACTGAATTCAGAATTCAGAAGCCACATGTGGTAGTTAAGTGTCAACTTGGCTGGGCCTAGTTTTGTGTGGCTGGGCAGCTGAATGTAGTATTCCCCATGATGAGACTGGTAATCAACTCCACGGTGGAATCTACTGGAGCAGCTGAGTAGCTGCCTTATGGATGTGCTCTGCTTCCAGTATAGAAGAAGACACTTAGAGAAAAGTCTCTGAGCTTCTTAGCATGCTTGGA